TACGAAACTCGGTAGGCACGTGTAACTCACCAAGACGTACAAAAAAGCCTCTTGGACCCATACCCCAAACCCCACGGGAAGTCGGCCATTTTGATTTTCATTTTCACTTTCGGCGAACTTTTCGCGTTGTATTTGAACAAACTCCTCCTAGGGAATTCATCGGATCTGCTTCAAAATTGGTCAGTACAGTCAAAGTATGTTGCTGATTAAAAGTTGTGCTATTTGTACTTGACGTTGAAGGGCGTGTCCATGGCGTGCCACTAAAGCTAACTACTCCTACAGATATTATCGGATTGACTTCAAATTCGATCACTGCAATCTAAACACATTGGTGATCAAAAGTTAATCAAATATTTACTGTGCGTCAAACGGCGTGTCCGTGGCGTGGCGCTGAATTTCCACCTTTCGCACTGAAGAGTCTCTCTATGAAAACCTAAGTCTTTTGCACTGTGTCTGAAATGCATGACCACTTACAGCGGTCTCCTTCGGCTTCCAGCGATGAGGGCTTGGGCGTGGGGCGACGTGGCGAGGCGCGGCTGCGGCAGGTGACCGTCACGCAGGCCCCGACGTAGGGAGATGGCGAGGTCCCGCCCAATGCAGCTTGCAGCTTTAATGTTATTGTTATTTTTTGTAAAATAGCAGATACTTTCAGTTGATAAATCTTATTTTTTATTTTAAACAAATGAAACCATCCTTTGGCTGAACTGTTGTTGTACCATTCGTATCCTCACTAAGGATTTAAAATTTGATGAGGGGTCACAAGGAGACATTGCTTAATTTCAAGGGGTCACTAGCCAGAGAGGTTGGCAACCACTGGGTTATGTCCTTCAGTCAACGTGTAAAGTAAGAGTTTGAAGTTTGTAAATTCTCCCTGGATGACATTACTGATTACTGAGATACCCCCTTTAAACAACCAGTGGTGGTTAAATGCATGCTATTTTATTTTTCAACCAGACCTTGGGGCTGGAAAAAAAAAGTAAATATTATATATATATATATAATATAAATATTGTTAATATTAGTGTGAAAATAAATAATACACCCAAAAATGTAAATGTACCACTAAATTTCATATTTGATCTTTAGTTTTCTCATCGAATCTCCTCTACTCTAGGCTGAGCAAACATCTCATAAACGAAGCTGGCGCTTACTCCTACTATTACCAAAGCGAGGGCCCAGAGCCTTCAGCAGCTTCTGCTCAGCTCTGCGAGAAACTGAGCAGAAGCACCTGTGTGACCTGCTCACACAAACAGCAGAAAAAGATGGCAAAGAGACATATGTAGAGGTGAGTGTGCGCTTTATCATACATCACCACACACACAACACAAAGCTGCAGCATACACAGCAGATTCTTACCCCAAGAATTACTGCAGTCATTGTCACTGTTGACATTTTCTTAGACAGAACAAATGTCCAGAGAACTTTGTATTATTGTATATCTCTTTTTAAGGAGGTTTCATAATTGTCAGATGAATTTCACATGCTCACAGATCTAAGAAAAAGTTACACGATAACGGTATGAACAGTTACACGGCCTTCTGCAGACATCCCTAGGAGACAGAGAAGAAAAGAGTGAGGTGAGCAGCACTTCATCATGCCCAGTCCAAGCCTCAGATAACTGCCTGCGCTCAGAGTCCTCAGTAGGATGGTTGGTCCCAGTCAGGGAGGAAGACAGGAAGGCAGAGAGACAGAGGACGAAGAAAAGAGGAAGAGATAAGCAGACAGATGTGAGAATCACAAACCACATCCATATCATGTTAAACAACCAGATGGCCTGCTGAGGTAGTTACACAGAAGGCAGAAGATTCCTTAATAGTTAAGTTATGATGGTAGTAGTCATATTCCCACAACAGCTGCTGTTGCAACAGCCAACAACAAAAGCCGTCATTATCTGTCTTGTTTTGTTTGCTTTAAGCAGCTGATGGTTTGTCATTAATAATTTGTACATGACTTCAAATTTCAGAGGTTTGTGAACTCTTCTCTCCCACACCCCACCCAAGAAGGAATTGCTGCCAAGAGAGCAAGGACACATGGTGAGTGGTATTGTAATGTGGCCTGCATTCAGGATAACGTAGGTTTCTCTTGTTGTCAATATTGTTCTGTTTCCATGGAGACAAGGGTGTTGTCTGGAGAAGTGTTTATCTGTTTAAACAGCAGGTAATAGAATATACTTCAACACAAAAAAACATGTTGTAGCCCTCAGCAGCTTTAGAGAATTCAGTCTGCATGAATTGTTCATTGTATAATCTTATCACTGAGAGAAGTGTAGGAGTGTGGTTACTCTAGTATTTGGCTACTGTCTGTACCTACAGGCGCCACGCCCCAAGAGTGACTCATTCACAGCGTTGTAGTACAAAGTTTGTTTGCACATTTGCCAGTGGGAGCACACAATGATGTGCATCAGCAATTTAACTTGTAATAATCAGAGTTTTACCTATTAATGATTGTGTTTGTGTTTGTGTGTCAGAGTCCATGGAGTGTAGTCTGGATGCAGACAGTCCCATCAACACTCCCGTGCTCCCGTGCACTCCTGACTTTTACCTCTCTCACTGCCAGCAGGTAAAACACTTCTTCTCTTCACCAGATCTGGTTTACGGTGACTTATTTAAGTTTTACCTGTGGGCCTTTAGAAATACTTGTCTTCAGTGTCACACCACCTATCTGGATATGAGTCAATATATAACACTAAATGCAAAGATACATAAATGCAGTGAATGTGTAAAAGTAATAATAGTATAAATTAATGTATACAAGTAAGGTGTTAATGCCGTTATATGAACAAAGCTTTGTCATGACGTTATTTTGGACTCTTTGATCCATTCTTCTTTTTGCTTTTCTCTCACTTCCCACACTCCAGTCTTACAGAATGAATTCATCCCCTCGTGGTTTTGCTTTGGTGATCAGTAATGTGACCTTTGATCCTTGTGCTGCGCCTGACCTTGACCCGAGGAAGGGAGGTGAGGTGGATGACGAGGTCCTCAGGAAGGTGTTCACAGAGCTGGACTACCTGGTTACAGTCCACAGAGACCTCACTGCTCAGGTAACACACACAGAAGCAGGTTCAGCATGTATTTACAGGATGTTATTTAAAATATTTTTGTCTTATTTAGCTGATAAAGCTAGAACAAGAAGTTGTAAAAGGGGAGGTGCAACCTTGGAATCATTTTCAGAAAGTCACTTGGCCAGTGCTTGTAGAAAAGCTGCTCTCATGTAAGATTTGTTTGGCAGGTTTGTTTAGCTCAGTTCCCATTTTCAATGCTGTTCAGTGTGCCAAAGTTATCACAAAACACATTTAATATTTCAGTAATTGGCTTATTGTAAGAAATGAAAAAGAGGAATGAGTAAGCCATGTAACCACATGGCTGCCTTACCTAACCTGTTAAGTATTAAAAATCTTGAGCTCATCTGAACCACACTTTTCCTGATTCCACATTCTTTGTGTAGGGCATGAGGACGTGTATTGAGACCTTTTGTCGACGGGCAGACCACCAGACAGTGGACAGCTGTGTGGTCTGTTTGCTCTCCCATGGAGTGGAAGGAGCTATATATGGTACAGACGGACAGCTCCTGCAGGTGTGATTGGTTGATAGGTAGTGTTGATGTATGTAATGCCATTCAAGGGTGAGGATGCAACTCCTTTTACATTTAATATGTGTCACACAATTTCAGCTGGACTGGGTGTTTGAAGCCTTCGACAATGCACACTGTCCCCTGCTACAGAACAAGCCGAAGATGTTTTTCATCCAGGCCTGCAGAGGAGGTAAGACTCTGTGTTATTCTGTACAGCCCTCTATCATCATTAATTAAACTGACACATGGCCGAACCAAGTTTTCTTTACTGGGTGTTTAAACTCATTGAAGCTCAGCCACAGAGTGAGTTTAGATGTCCATGGGGATTTCAGAGTGCAGCCACGGCTCCTTCATATGTGAAGCAACCAGGCCTCTGCTGAGGTTGCCTCCTGGGTGCCTCCATGTGGAAGTGTTCGGGGCGGGTACACTTTGAGGAGACACTGGGGCAGACGCATAATGGATCATAATATACAAATGTGAATATGCAAATACGTGATTGTAATGCCTTACAACGTATGTTAAGACTACCTATGTTAAATCAGTTGGATCACTCCAACATAATAAAAGCTTTTACTGTAAGAGAAAGACAATACGCAGATGCCAGCCTGTCTCTCCACATGTCCAGATGTTGTTGGCTGTCACCTTCCTGGCCACTGGGACAGATAACCCGGGCGATCCAGATGTCGTGGATTGTGTCATAATATGTCAAATTTAAATGTTCTGTTAATAAAACATATTACAGTAGTAGTACAATATTATTTCATAAACATGTAATTAATCTGTGACTTAACGAGGCTCCCAGCTAATTAATATGTCTCTGTGATGGAGGTTATGGTCTCACTACATGGCTGATGATTCTCCCGACACACCCTCAGACCCCTCAGGAGCAATCATAATTACTGTCACGCAGTCCCTCGCTCCACCACAGAGCCCACCACAGGTGTGCTGATGAAAGGCCATTAGATGTGGTTGGCCACTGCCTCTGCAGATAGCTTCAGTCAAAACCAATAATTGGTTTCTTGCAGTATTCATGAAAATCCTGTCATCCTAGTTTCCAAAATTAATTACATTTACACCTGATGCAGAAGTTAAAAGACTTTTTTTTTTAACTGAAGCTCAGGAAAATGACAATAATATTAATAATAATTTCAAGAATCCACTTTAAAAAAATATCCCATTACATGTTCTTATTACAGAATTTATTATTCAATTTTTTTATTTATCAAAACCATGACTGCAGTCAAGACCCACTTAAATTCTAGTCCAAGACAAGTCCTGTTCCTATAGTCAGAGAAACAGCATCTGAAGACTGAAACCAGGCCCAGGCACGTCAGCCCTGATTTTTGCACCAAAGGTTAAGAAGACTGTTGGATGTTTGATGTTGATTAGAAACTATCTTGTCTTCCAGATGAGATGGACTGTGGCGTGGAGCAGATAGATGGGCCAGCAAGGACCTGCTCGCCAAGCTGTGAACAGCGGGATGCTGGGAGGGAAGGACAGGGGGATGCAGACTCCAGACAGAGAGGGGACATGGGTAGGCCCAGGATTAAACTGCCCCAGCGGTCTGACATGATCTGTGGCTTCGCATCTCTCAAAGGTCAGAGAATTTGTAAGTTTGTCCCTTTTGCTATTCTGGTTATTAAGGAAAATGTTTATTTAAAGGTCCAGTGTGTAACATTTAAGAGGATCTATTGACAGAGATGGAATATGATATTCATAGGTATGTTGTCATTAGTGTAGAGTCACTTGAAAATAAAAATTGTGTTTTGGTTGCCTTAGAATGAGCTGTTTATGTCTGCAGAGGAAGCCAGTACTCTTCCACAGAGTGTTTCTACAGTATCCCAGAATGGACAAACCAAACACTGCCTCTAGATAGGGCCTTTTTCCTACACTCGTGGAAGGGCAAGCTGTATTCTTCCAGTTGTTTGTAGTCTACAACTTCACAGATAGATGCCACTAAATCTGACACTCTGGTCCTTCAACCTTAGTGTGAAAGATTAAAAAAACAATGTGTGGAATATTGAATGCTGCAGTAGAGGTGAGCAATAATCTATGAAAAAAGAGAGGTCGTCGAGAGGTAGCCGTATTTCAACGAACTAAAACAAATCAGTGTCTGTCCACCTGACCACCCGTCTTTTTTCACTGCTGATTTTTTTTCCTGCAGCTGTACCCAACTGTGGCTTAAGTTGGTCTTGTTTTCTACCTTCTGTTATGCTTGCAGCCTTCTCAAAAATGAACTGAAACAAAACCAAAATAGATCATATTAGAGGCTTTAAAGGTAAACTTCACTGATTTTACACACCGTCTTGGAGACTACTACTGCATATATGAACAAAGTTGTATGAAACCTTTTGTGGTTCCAGAGGAAGCTGCATGAAGTCTGCTAGAAAATATGTCAAGCAGCAGGGGTTAGGGCTGAAGACTACTACTAAGTTAAGAACCTCGAATCTGAGGGTGTGGAGGCTTAAAGGCTGCTAGCATAACATACCTGAATCTCCAAGTGAGCTGTTGGCAAAGAAACATTTCTGTAGTTGTGCTGCATCCATTTTCATACTTTTTTCTTAAACTGTCTGTCGTGAGTTTGACAGTGTTACAAGAGTGCAATGTTAAAAAGTGTCTGGGGTTAAAACCATATTTGTTGATGAAATTTCCGCTGAGCTCTGTCTTCATGTATTTCAATTGAGCTCAGACTACTTTTCCATGATGATTATCAAAGTTTTAGATGTTAACATAATTTTATAACTTTTCTGTTTCTGTTTCCAGTTGTGTAAATAGCAAACACCACCTTAGCTCTCGCTGTATTAAGCCTTTGTTTGATCCTTTTCTCCTCAAGGCACAGCAGCCATGCGGAACACCAAGAGAGGATCCTGGTTTATCCAAGAACTTAACACATCACTTCGCCTCAATGCCAGAGACACACACCTTGCAGACATATTGGTGCAGGTGAGCATAGATTGTCCTGCACTTCCATATGCTGCATTCATGCTGTTAAATGTACTTTTTTATCTAATGAACTTCTTTAAGACATTACTGTAATCTTCCTGTCTTGTTTTTTCACTGTCTCTAGGTCAACGGGCGCATTAAGGAGCGGGAGGGTTACGCTCCTGGCACCGCCCACCATCGCTGCAAAGAGATGTCGGAGTTCACCAGCTCATTGTGCAAAGACCTCTATCTTTTCCCCAAGTACCAGCCCCAGTATTGATATGCAAATATGCACATACACAGATGAACACACACAGACCATTCCTTACATTGAAGCCTCTCAAGAAAGGACACACAACTGTTTATTCCACACAATTACTGCCACACACTCACACATTCCCCTGTTACAACTTCATGTCCAAACAGAGGATTTATTCATTCATATTTCCTGTGTAAATACTGCCTCCTCAAACCCGCAGACACACATACACAAATACGCAAATCTTGGAAATGAAAAAGGAGCAAGCTTATGTTAATCTACATGTACTCGGAAATGGGCAGCGTTTTAGTATACAACTCACTCATGTATCTGTGTGCCTGTGTCTATGCCAGTTAGAGGGTTTAGATGTTAATCCGTTTTAGTCAAAGACAGAATCATATTTTTTTGTTTTCTTACTGCACAGCTACTTTGAGGTTTCACTCTCTTTTTAAAATGTATTTTCTACACAGATCTATTTTTGTGGCTTTATTTTGTATGGAATTGTTTTTATAAGGATTTTTAAGCCCATTGTTTTTATTTGTATATAATGTTTGTTCTGAATTGTGACCATTTCTTGTTTTTAGTATAGTGACAGGCAGGGGGCAGCACAGCAGAGACAAATGCATTTCATCGTCTGTATGTCATCAATATTCATATCTACTGCAGTTCAAAAAGGATCTTTACTGTCACGATTGCAGACGGCTTTTATTTTAGTTATAGTCACCTACAGGGATAATTAAACTGTAAAATCTTTGCAGCAGGTTCTGCCTGCTCTCATTAGAGAGGTTCTTTTCTCTCTCACATAGTTTGCCTTATGAAAATGATGAAAAACACCTACAGGGCAGCTACAAAACTGTTTGTTTGTTTGTGGCTTTCAAACCATTCAGTCTGCTTTTGTGGTTGCAAATCCACAAACAAACAAACATGTTTGTGGATTTTCAACCAGCAAAGCAGCCTTTAACCTTAAATTTCATAAAGGAAGGAAGAATTTTACTTTATATCAGCTGTGTTACTGTAGATCTGTCCCTGTCATGGTGGTGGGCTGCCAGGGGAATGTGGTGCTACTTGTGGGGTCATACACCTACAGTGTGAACTCTGACCTTTATGCTATCTCTCACTCCTAATAGTGTTTCTCCCTGTGTGGGAGCCACACATTTAGTTAGTCCATGTACAGTTTTCGTGGTATTTTACTGTATCTGGTACAGTAACGATAAAACATGTATTTCTTATGTCTTCCATAAACAATATGCAGTTTTCTACATCAACCTGTACCATGTGACAATGATCTCTTAGATGAATTTATTACCATTGAGCATTTACAGTGTATTGTATTGCTTTGGCACCCTCACACAGAGAAAAATCTATTTCTGAAGGCTTTGTGAGCATTGATGACTCCGAGAAAGGCCCTGACCAGGCAAAGTGTGTTTAGTTACAACAGTGTTGTAGTGAAGAAAACAGAATACATGGTCGAAACAGTATTGATTAACCATCTGTAAACAAAGATGCCTTCAAGCTCTGTGTGTGAGGTACTTGTGGTAGAGTTTAACTAGACCTGGAAGGTGTGCTCTCCTCTTTGTTTTAAGTAATTGGGAAAATATAATTTAAAAAAGAAAAACATCTGAGTGGTATGAAAGGGTAACTCTCCTGCAGGGTGGGAAGTTTTGAAGCTTTGAAATTTGCTGCCAAGCTCTGCTGAGGTGCAGTGTGGGGGGGCCTGGAGAGATTTTATTTCTATCAATGCCAATGACTGCCAAATGTGCTATACAATAAACAGGCCATGGTTTTTAAACAAGAGAAACTTTTTGTTTTTTTCTTACATTTGCATGTGCATAAGTGTATCTGCATTTCCTGTGACTGCGTTGTTTTGTGCATATGTTTGGTTTAAGCTGAGTGCTGCACCGTGAGACCTCTGCACAAATGTACGCTGTGGCTGCTCCTGTGCATGCTCCACTTTATTTGATCCTCCTTGTTGCTGTGTTTGTGTGTGTTGTTCCCCGGCGTACAGCCTGTCCTCTCCGTTCTCAGGTATAGTATAACTGGCTCCCCACTATTCCGCTGTGCTCAGGTCTCTCCATGCTGTGACTGGGACGAATGTATCGCTCACACTGCCCGCCACCCAGTGAAAATGTTCTTAGTGTATCAGATAGAGGCCCAGCCAGCTGTCCACAGTCATTCTCCCTTGTCACACACACACACATACACACGCCGGCGGTCAGAGTAACACATTTCTCGCTGGCCTCCGGTGTAGCTGTGAGATTAGGCTGTTATGCGCTGGCGTGTGGACCACAAAGCGGGGCGGGGTTAAGGGGGATCTGTGTGTGTCTGTGTGTCTTTGTGGTTCTCATAATGGCCGCCTGTCTCATCAGCCATAAGAGGAAGAGCCAGAGGATGAGTTAGAGACGTTTAGATTAACTTGTCTGAGTGGGATGTTGTCTCTCTGGCGGTGCAGAGCAGTGGTGGTCTTCTGAACCTGCTGGAGAGGTCAAGCGTATAGGGATCGCTTTATGGGGCCGTCTTTTACCGTGGGTGGGCGCATTCGGGGTAATTTTTTTTCTTCCTAAGGCAGGACTGCCATAGCATGTGAGTGTTATGGGGATTGCCTTGCATCATTGGCTGATTAGGTGAGAGCTGTCATAGGGGTGTCATGTGCACCTTCCTGCTCACGTTGCAGGGGCAGCCCTATGGGGGGTGCCCTTCCAACCCCCCCCCAAACAAGAAGTCCATCCAAACACACACACACCTAATGGCCGGCTGGCAGGGAGGGTGCTGCTAAGTGCAACAAGTTGTGTGTGTGTGTGTGTGTGTGTTTTATTAGGTGTCTGCAGTTCTAATAAAGGAAAGCGCTGCGTCCTTCACTGCCTCATCAGATGGCTTGGCTCTGCTTTGTCTGCCTGTCTGATTTCTGTCCGTGTGTCTGTCAGGTCTGTAGTGGAGCTGGATTGCTCGCAGCATCTGGATCATCTGGAGAAGAGCGCGTTCAGGAAGGACTCTGTAACGAGTGCGTTTTGAGAATGAGTTTATAGTAGAGTGAGAAACTTTAGAAGATGTTTGCCTGTTTATTTGACCTGGTGTAAAGTGTGTGTACGGCATATAGAAGACAGGCAGAGAAAGAGTGTGTGTGTGTGTGTGTGTGTATGGTGTTGCCCACGCCATTGGAAATGCTGGGGTGTCCAGCAAGGTTATTTTTGGATCAGTGACAGCGTGTCAATGGCTGCAGATGCATCGCAAAGGAAGGCTCTGAGATACCAACAGACCCTGGTAGGTCTTTCCCAAAATCTACCTTTACCTGCATGCCGGTCCGCTGTCCTATTTGTCTCTTGAAATGTCTTTTACTTTCCCCTCATTTCATGCCCATCAACCTGCTTCTCCCTCATCCCTCCATCTATCTACCTGTCACTTTTTCTACCATCCTTCACTTTCCCTAATTCTTTCCGCCCTACCTTTCAGTACTTTTCTTCCACAACTACCTCCTGGTCATTTGTTTTCATCTGCTGCATCCTTTCTTGTCCACCAGCAGTGCTCTCTTTGCCTCCTCTGTTCTCTTTACTTCTTGAAAACCATTTCTGCAACTTAATGTCAAGTTTATTTGTACAGCCCTCAAACATGTTCACAGTCTCCGCTGCTTTCACACCGCCCACGCTGCTAAACACTGAGTGCGGGCGATAAATGGAAAGTCATCCCTTCAATAATCAAGGATTTTATTATTTATTACACTAAGATTCTGGTCTCTTGCTTGATTTCTTGCATTTGACTGTTATTGTGTTGGGTACATTTCTACTTCGAGACCTCGTCTGTCTACTTCTATCTGTATTCCTCCTCAAGCAGCAGCCTTGTAAAGTCATTGCTGTTTTCATGTGTTGGTGGATATAAATACCTATATACAGGAAACCTGAGCAGACAGGTTAGACATACGTGTTGAGATGAAGTCATGTCACTATATCCTCTCGTTCATCTGTTTAAATGCTCATCCAGAATGATGGTCATTCCCCAGAGGAGCATCATGTCTGCATGTCTGCCATTGATGTTTTTCATTCAATCACACCTCCTCTATGGACATAAATGAGAGTGTTTTTTTTGAGCGATTGATTTGAAGCATTGTGTTTTTTCTTCCAGGGGTTTTAACGGTCATTTTAAATATGAATTTGAATTATAAGACAAGAGGATGACAGATACACAAGCAGCTGTGGTGTGTATATATGTGTTAGAGCAGCCTGAGCAACTGACAAAGTGACTAAGAGCAGTGACAGTGACTCCTCTTCCTCTTCTTCTCTGAGACGATGTAGATTGCCAAAAGCAAATCTCTAATTCCCCGGCCCTTGTGGAGCCCCACAGGGGTGCCCACAGGTCAGGTATAAATAAGAAATCTCAATTAACCACACTATTTACTGGCTTAATGTCTCTCTGCGAAGTCTCACATCTCTCCGGTGTGAAAGCTGCGATGGTGTCTGTGATTTGTGTGTGTGTGAGAGAGAGAGAGGAAATTAGAGCCTTGAAGGATTTGAGGAGTTTATGTGTAGAGCTGTTAATAGATCGTCCTAATATAATTTGTTTATTGATGAGCAGCAGGATATAGCAGTGTATATTTTCAGTTTGATGGTTTAGCAGGCTAAATCCTCACAGATGCACACTGATGCTGAGAGGTTACAATAGACGTCTGTTTTTAGTGTTCGCACAAAGTGTTGAGGTTAAAACTGGGTTAAATGTGGTTAAGTGTTAGATGTTTATGTTACATATAACTAGTAAGGATCTGCCTGACACTAAACTATAGTCCTTTAAAGTTCAGTTTAAAGTGCAGCTTTATTGTCATTATACATTACATGATTACACAATTAAATGTGGTTGTATAAATAATTAGATAAGAAGAAAAGAGAAATTCAATAAAAATTTAATAAATACGATATACGATATAAGAAAAAAGAAACAGGTCAAGTTAGGATAAAGCAACAGACAACACTTTATTTTCCAGGTCTGTAATTCTCTGTCATTTGGTACTAATTATTGCGAAAAATAGGACATTTCCTTGAAAGCTCCATTTAAACCCATTATTATTAAATGATTATCCAAAAAATGTTATTCTCTATGTTCAATTATGTTGTGCCTGTAGTTAATTTAATTAGAATTTTTTAGCTGACCTGATTTGCACTGACTAAAAGAAAGATTGATTATACTGGTAATTCACTGAAGTATACCAATTGAACAATGTCTCTATTTTCCCCTTTAATCAGTACAAACACGGTGTTATCTAATGCACACCTGGCACAAAGGTGTATCATTTCAGTCATGGACTTTTATCTAGCTTCTTATTATCTTGGTGTTGACAATGTATGAGAATTATATATATTATATATATTCTTTTCCTGTAATTAATATAATTGCATAGTTCTTTTTAGGAAACAGGAAGAAATGTTTTGGAAATTACATACCTGTAAAATACTTAACAAGAAGGTTCTTTATAACTTTTAGTTTAATTTAGCCCAGTTTTAACATTGATGTCTTTTGACCTGCAAATCACCAAATCATTGC